AATCAGAGGTATGGAAGGGGAGTGAACTGATGATTCTTGGGGAAAAGGGGAGAAGGGGATGTGGGAAGAGACTGAACATAAACTGTGCACCTATGGATGAGGACAATGGGGAGTGGGGAAAGGGCAGAGGGTGGGGTGGGAACCTGGTGGAGGAGAGCAATTGGGGGGGGGGGGGGAGGAACATTTGTAATAATATGAACAATAAAAACTTATTAACAACAACAAAAAAAGAAACTAAACATCAATTATTTAAAGTCCATTTGGTTGTTTAATTAATATTCCTACTTACTAGTACACTGCAAAATAAATATTCCAGAGGTTTAATTTTGTCTGTTAATGAAATCAGTCTTTTTTTTTTAATCATTACCCAAGGATATATTTTTGTTGATCTGAGAGAAACATTAATCGGGAGGTTGCCTTCTGTATGCACCCAACGGGAATTGAACCCACAATCTGGGTCTGTGCCGTAACTGGGAACCGAACCTGAGACCCTTCTGTATATAAGATGATGCTCCAACCAACTGAGCTACACTGGACAGGGCTAAAGTCAGTCTTTATAGCTATGTCTCTGCATTGATTTCAATTGTATGAATTTTTTTTACAGGTTTCTCAGTGGGCTGATGAGAAAAATATTCCCACAGGGCTTTATATATGTAACAGTTAGTTATAAACATCAGCGGTCACCAACCTTTCAGACCTCACGGACTACCAGTTGGAGACTGCTGATACATATGACCTTTAGAAATGAAGGTCTGTTTGAATGAATACTAACATATTTGACTCACCTTTAAAGCTGGGGATGATGAAACAAGGAAGGGCTTAGGACAGGAGATGCAACAGGAGAGAGCCTAGGCGGGCGGGCTGCTGTGGCTCACTGAGAAATAGTCACAGAGTGAGCCCACGTGGGGCTGCCTTCAGCTCACCAGAAAGTCAGAGAAAAGGGAGCCTTAGAGACAGGTTCAGGGGCTAAGCCCAGACAAGCTGCTGCTGCCCATTGCTCCCCTAGTTGCAAGTCTTGTAGGGACCGTTGGAGTTTAGGAGATGCCTGTGGGGGAAGAAGAGAGGGAAGGGGAAGGCACGGTGGCCTCCAAGAGGGAGAACATGCTCTTCTTCTTCTTTTTTTTTTTTAAGCCTTCCTCTTGCTTTGTGAGCAAGGAAAGGGTAAATAGACTATCTAAGATTAAATAGAGTAAATAGACTTATCTAAGATTCTAAATGGGGGTTCTCTCCATAGTAAACATGAGCTTTAGTATATGAACTTGGATAGTGTTCATTTGTACTCAAAGATTTTTTTAAATTGATTTCAGAGAGGAAGGGAGAGGAAGAGATAGAAACATCAATTATAAGAGGTAATCATTGACCTGCTGCCTCCTGCATGCTCCCTATTGGGGATCAAGCCCTCAACCAGGGCATGTGCCTTAACTGGAATCGAACCTGGGACCCTTCAGTCCACAGGCTGATGTTCTACCCACTGAGACAACCAGCTGGGGCTGGAACTCATTTCTTAATTCTTATATATTCTGGATAAGTAAAGTACTATATATTAAATTATAAGCTTGGGAAACAATTGATCTTAGAAAGAGAAAAGTCTTAGTTGGATATATGGAAAATTCAGAAATCAGAAGGCACTTGAAAAATACTAGAGACACTTGAGATCTCTTTTACAACTAAAAAAAATTTATCTTAGTAACTAAAGTAAAAGAACTCTGAAAGAAGTTCACTGGCTACTTTAACCAAATGTCATAATTATACACATTCAGACATTAAAAAATAACTGAAAGTTTTATTTCAAGAAGTCAAGACCTATTGTTATTTTAGGCTCCCATGGGATCAGGAGGGTACAAAGGTATATCACAGCACATAGCAATGTCTTACTCAACCACACAACTAAAGCATGTTCCCAGGTATGGTATATAATAAAATGAAAAATACTACCACCATCAATAATCCAATTCTCAATTATTCTAAAGAAATAAAAAAATGCTAAAAGAACTCAGGTCTTAGAGATAAATGAATACAATACAGTAGATAAAGGTCTCCTACATATATATGGAAATTAAAACTGACTTTTGAGTCTCATTTTAAAGCCCCACCTAGTTTTACAATCCAAGAGTAATTACAGCTTTCCAGTATAATAATCATCAGAAAGTCTAACTCATGTACCAACTTGTGCATAGTCCTATTTTAGGCATCCAACAAAGCAATTTAGATATAGCTAGTGGACTTTGGGCTTAGGGCTTACATAATCTATGCCGGCCAAAAAGAGTATTACAAGTAATTACTTTTAATAGGAAAAGCGGTGACATAATTACATAAAGATTAAACATGCCTAAATATACTTGGAGTCTGCAACATCTTTCTATTAATTTCTTGTGACATTCTTCTGACAGACTAGACTGTATTCTCCAAAGAAGGTCGCAACTGCTGGATCTTCCAAACCACTTGCTTTCCTAGAAGCCTCAATTCCTACTCCTGAAAAATGGACTGCACTCATCCTTGTAGATGTGGTGGGCTTCTGCTGTGCTTCGAACCAGCAGGATGTAGTGGAAGCGACTGATTTCTAAGGCTAGGTTGTAAAAAGGCAACAAAGCTTCCACTTTGGGGCTCTGACTCTGAGAACACCACACAGTAAGAAAGCACAGCCGTGCCCTAACCAGTTTGGCTCAGTGGATAGAGCGTCTGAAGGGACTGAAGGGTCCCAGGTTCGATTCCAGTCAAGGGCATGTACCTTGCTTGCCAGGCACATACCCAGTAGGGAATGTGCCAGGCACATACCCAGTAGGCAGCTGATGGATGTTTCTCTCTCATTGATGTTTCTAACTCTTTATCCCTCTCCCTTCCTCTCTGTAAAAAAATCAACAGACTATATTAAAAAAAAAAAAAAAAAAAAAAAGGCAGCAGAAGCACAGCCATAAGGAGGGCCTGCAGTTGGCAGTCCTAGTCTTCCAGCCCTTCTAATCCAGGGCCAGACATGTGCGTGAGCTTTCAGATCATGCTAGTCCCCAGACACTGAGTCACCTCAAGCCTCTGAGAGGTCTCAGTGGAGGCCATAGATATCATAAGGCATAGGTAAAAACCATCCAAACTTTGCCCTTTCTAAATGCCTGATCCACAAAATCATAAGCAAAATAAAAAGTTGGCTTAACGCTTCTAAGTTTTGGGATGATTCATTATGAACAATAATAACCAAACAATCCTTATTCCACTTACCACAACATCTTTGCAAAATCTCCATTGTTCTCTAAAATAGAAACGACCTCAATATTTCTAAGACTAGTCCACTATCTCCAAAACCCACTCATTTAATTCCTTCCTTGCTAGTCCTTCAATCTCTCATCAGATTTCTTCCCTTCTGCATAGAAATAAGCTCAGATATCCTGTCCTAACACCAACTCTTCTGCCATCTAATCTCATGATGTACAGAATATGACTTCATTTTCCTTAATCTGTAGTAAATGTCTCATCGACTGTTTAGAAGCTCAGAATTCCAGAGAGTGATAATTTTCTATAGAGCGAATTAAAGTCCAAAGGAGTAGTTAAATAACAAAGAGGCAGCTGAATAGACACAACCTCATGGACTCTCAGATTCCCGTCTACACAGAGTCTTTAGTCTGGATCATACATACTGTTCTCAATTTTCGCCACACAACATGCTTGCCTAGTAGGAGCTTAACTATATGCTCTCTTTTTTTTTGAAGGAAAGAAAGTTTTAATAAAGAAGTGAGAGATAAAAACTACTGACCAGTGGCAGATCTGACACAGGAGAAAGTAAGGAACATATGCTTTGGCTTGAGTGATACTATGTGTATGGGACCTTTCTAAAAAAGGGAAATTTGGACCTTATGAAGAAATGGTAGCATGCCATGCTCCACAGAGCAATCAGTAAAATTACTAGGCTCTAGGCTATGCAGGTATGCCTGTTACAATGTTATTGAAGGAGAGATGCTTAATGGTGGTTGGTGTTTTCTCATTCAGGCCATACTAGCATTCTATGAAGGTAATTGTATATAAACCTGACAAGAGCAATTGGACAGTGCTCTGTTTTCCTGGAACAGGTAGATGAAATGTGACACAGAGTTCTCACAACTATATCAAATCCGACCAATCATTATCTTATTCTGTTGACTGAATGATTGAACAACCGGTCGACCAGTCTCTATGACGAGCACTGACACCAGGGGACAGATGATCAATGCACAGGATTGGGCTTCCCCTTGTCTGGATTGGGCCTGAAGGGATTGGGCTCCCTCCTGTTGATCAGGCCTGTGGGGATCAGGCCGAAACCAGAGATCTGACATCCCCCAAGGGGTCCTGGATTGTGAGAGGGTGCAGGCCAGGAACTATATGCTCTTGATCTTTATGAATCCTCACAGCAAGAGCACTCCACAAAATAATTTCTAAGTCTTCTGTGAAAACATAAACCACTATTTCACACAATGGCAGAACCTACAGAATGTCTTTTTCATTGAGTACAATGCCAGGAAACAGTCTGTTTGTATAAACAAAGGGGCAAGCTTTCTTTCCACAGACAATGAATCTATGTAATTCAATGCTATAGAGACAAAGGAGCAGTTCCTTGTTAATCTCAGCAGCCAGAAAAGTTAAAGCCAAATGCAGTAAACAACAATTACATTGGCTCCCCTCAGAAGCCTGGTATCTTCTACTTTCTAAGTTCTTCTTGGATAAGTACTATGCTTTTATATCTAATTGTCCTGTTTTATATTGTCTTTAATTCTCTGACCACATTCCAATCCTCCTGAACATACCCAGATTATTTATGTACATATTATGAATAGTCTCTATTTCTTACAACTTTGCTTCTGCTATTGCTTACATTTTCTGGGATCATTCTATATTTAATGATTTAAGAATTCAAAACAATAATGAGACTAAGAGGCTAATTTAATAAAGATCGAGCAATCTGCATCATTAACCCTCCCCCCTAGTCCATTCCCCAAAACAAATTAAGTGATGGCTCAGTGGGAAGGCAAGCACAGCACCTTTGCAGTAGTCTGCGGGGTCCTCCTGCTCCTCATCATCTGAACCCAGGATCTCCTCCTCTGGCTCTGGAGGCGTGGGGTCTGGCAGAGGTGGCGGTGGCGGTGGAGGTGGTGGAGGAGGAACTAAGGGAGCTTTCTGTTGAGGCTCCGGCCTGAAACAGCAGAAGGAAAGTTGGTAATTATTGAGAAGTAAATCTCGCATTGTGGATACTCTTGAAAGTTTCTTAATATGGGGGGGGGGGAATAGAACTTGTCATACACTTAAAAGAAATGATGAGTAATGTCACTGCATCCATTTTAACTGAATTCAAGTATTGTTTCAATATACAGGCCAGGAGGGAAGACTACCCTTAATAGCCAAGGCATATTCTTGCAGGCACATTTTCACCCAGAGCTTTAATATTTTTTAATTCATGACATTATTATAAAATATAAGTGAAATAAAAGAGTACCTCCCCATGATATACAAACACATCCCACAGAGATTATAAAAGACATGTGAAAGTAGTCCTGAACTTATAAAGGGGCTTATTTTCCATTATTTGAAATCAGAGTTTCTTTTCTCACATAAATAGTAGGAATATGGTTAGATACTCTGGATAACTCACAAAAGGTGACTAAAATAACCTGGCCCACTTGGCTCAGTGTTGAGAATCAACCTATGAACCAGGAGGTCACGGTTCCATTCCGATCAGGGCACATGTCCAGGTTTCGGCTAGATCCCAAGTAGGGGGTATGCAGGAGGCAGCCAATCAATGATTCTCTCACATCATTGATGTTTCTATCTCTCTTTTCCTCTCTAGAATCAATAAAAATGTGTTTTTTTAAGTGACTAAAATAGACTAACTGATATATGGTTATTTTCATTAAGGAATTCAGTTATCTATCAACCTAGTTTATCAAGAACACTGCCCAAACTGGATATTAAAAAAAATGCCCACTATTAATAAAATACAAATACAGTCCGTACTAACTAGTTCTGTCACAAAACAAAACAAAACAAAAAACCTAAATGACATATAGTATACTGTTTTACAAAAAATAGACAAGCCTAGCCAAAACCGGTTTGGCTCAATGGATAGTGCATCGGCCTGCGGACTGAAAGGTCCCAGGTTCAATTCCAGTCAAGGGCATGTACATTGGTTGTGGGCACATCCCCAGTAGGGGGTGTGCAAGAGGCAGCTGGTCGATGGTGTTCTCTCTCATCGATGTTTCTAACTCTCTATCCCTCTCTCTTCCTCTCTGTAAAAAATCAACAAAATATATATAATTTTTAAATAGACAAGCCTGTAATACACACACACACACACACACACACACACACACGCTTGAGAGGTTAGAGCTGTTAACATTCAGATATCTAGGATAACTCAAGGACATATTAAATACATTTATTTACAGTAAAAGGAAATCATTCATAACGCAATTCTATGAAATCAAGCTTTCAGTTACTATAAAATTAAACTGCTATTTCTAACCATGTACCAATGGGAAAATGTAAACCTGAAGTCTCAACTTGGATGCCATAAGCACATCTGACATGTAAGCTGCAAGCTGCCCTAACAATAGGACCACTACTGCTCTCCCTGAGGTGGCCACAGCTGTGTGGGGATAGGCTGACAGGTGTGTTCCTTCAATGGGGCATTGATGAGTAGACAACCGCTATTTTTTTGGCCTATCCAATCCTCATGCCCCCTTTCATCTTATGAGATACTGCTACTCCCTCGACAATGGGAGGGTGGTTCAGGTCCTCACATAGTACAGCCCAGGGCACAGAGCCAAAGTTCACTCCTGAGCCCTGGAACCTTGAGAAGGTCAACTGTCATAGGGTGGAAGTTTATACCGAACTGGTAGGAAGAGGCAAGAACAGAGAAATTGCCCTGACCGCTGTCTAAGATGTACCTCTAAATTCTTGCCAATCTAAAAGTCTCTAAATAGTCCTTACTATAGTGCCTTTAGCCTAAATTAGCTACAGTTCATTTATGTGGTTTGCCACCAAAAACTCAAACTGCCACAGGCAACGTGGTGGTGGAGGGGGAAAGGCAGGAGGGCATCAGCAGTCATGAGGAAGGGGTGTGATCTTTATCCCATCAGTAACCTTAAGGGCAATACTGATAAGTATGACTAGATATTAACCAAAAAAAATGTTTACAAGCCAGCCTGGCCAGGTAACTCAGTTGGTTAGAGCATCAATCATGGCACATACAAGAAGCAACTAATGAATGTAAAAATCTCCCTCCCTCCCTTCTCCTCTCCTGAACCAGTGATGGAGAAATGAAAAGGAATAATCACAAACACCCAAATCACTGCCAAAACACAACCACAAATTCCAGCGGACCTTGTAGAAGTACAATCATTGTCCTAGCAGCCTTGCAAATCCTTGCTCTCTTTTTAGCAGACATGCCCTTAACTGAAAGCAGAACATCCCAGGCAAGAGAGAGACCTGGAGAAGGAGAAGCAGGAGATGACCAGCAACAGCTTTCTTGCTTCCCCAGAGGAAGAGGGAAGACATATCCTTCAGGCCTCAGGGGTGTGGGCAGAATCTATCTACCTGACAAACTGACTGCCAGAAATACTTTGAAAGCTGGCTATTTCGTCCTAAAAATTTTATATGAAGAGATGGAGAGACTCTAAATTTAAAATAGGAAAACATGTTATATTCTCTGCAGAAACCATGTAACAACTAATGAAAGCAGAACTGAAGGACCTTGCTCTACCTACCAGTTTGGGGCATATTTGCTCAACACTACCAACATGTGGGCCACATACTTCTCTATTACGGGGCTGTTTCGTGCACCGTAAGATGCTATCAGCATCCCACATCAGTAGCACACACACCACAAACCCCAGTTGTCACCATCAAAAATGTGTCCCAGCACTGACCAATTCACCCGGGCAAAGCATGCCCATTTGAGAACCAGTACACTAGTAGTATTTTCTATTTGTAGGTTTTTTTAAAAATATGTTTTTACTGATTTTTTTTTTTTTTTTTTTTTTTTTTTGAGACAGAGAGAAGGAGAGAGAAAGGGAAATATCGATGTAAAAGTAGGCCCTGGCTAGTTGTTGCTCAATGGTTAGTGTCAACTCCACACCAAAGGGTCTCAGGTTCCATTCCAGGTCAAGGGCAAATAACCTGGGTTTCAGATTCCTTCCTTGCCCTGGGTAGAGGCACATGCAGGAGACAACCAGACAGATATGTCTGTCCGTCTGTCTGTCTCTCTCTCTCTTTCTCCCCCACCCCTTTCCAACCCTCCCCTCTCTCTAAAAAGCAATGGAAAAAATATCCTCATGTGAGGATTAACAAAGTAATATTATTTTTTACCCAGTTAGTGAGTTGCCCGTGTTGCTTAACAAAATTCCCAGACCCCTCTTGTCTCTGAGAGCAGGCACTTTTCCCACCAGTAAGTGCTACACTGAACAGTCAGGAAAAAGCTCCCCCCAAAGCCTCATGTATCAAGTCAAAGGGATGAGTCAGGGTACCTAGAAGTGCACAGGAAGTTGAGTAATACTGATGCAATATTTCAACCGGTTATTATATCAAAACATCTAGAACTGTTCTGTCCAACACAGTAGCCACTGGCCACATGTGGGTACTAAGCAATTAAAATGTGTACTGAATTTCTAAGAAAAAATGCAAAATTGGTAATAATTTCATATGTGTTATATGTTAAAATAATGTTCTAGATATAATAGAATATCTTGTTAAATTTTAATTCACCTGATTCTTTTTACTTTTATTAATGTGGCTACTAGAACACTCTGGAGACTCACACTCTATTTTTGGATAGCTCTACTCTAACCCCTTTAGATCCACCTATACCAAAGGAAAAGCTTGGCCTTCGAAATCTGAGATGCCTGGTCACAACAGTGATGATGGTTCTTTTTTTCAAGGCTTCTCCTACTAAGCTGCTTCACTTCAGTTATCATCAACTCTTAAACCTCTCAATTCATCCCAGTAAGATTCAATACAATGTAATGTCAGATGTTATAATCCCAATCACCGATTTTTGTACATCCCATCCATCCTTGTTACTGCCTACCACACAGGAGAAACAAAGTAAATCTGTATTAGGGGAGACGTATGCAAGAGAGAACAACGCCACACCATCTGTAAGGCTGGCTTCTTCAAAGTGGTTTCTGGGAGCTTCCATAGTACTTCAAAGCCTGATTAAATCTCAACCATTTAAAAACCAAGAGATGGCTGCAACCGGTTTGGCTCAGCAGATAGAGCAGTCGGTCTATGGACTGAGGGGGCCCAGGTTCGATTCCGGTCAAGGGCATGTACCTTGGTTCCGGGCAACATCCCCAGTAGGGTATGTGCAGGAGGCAACTGGTCTATGTTTCTCTCTCATTGTTGTTTCTAGCTTTCTATCCCTCTCCCTTCCTCTATGTAAAAAATCAATATATTTTTAAAAAGGTAAATAAATAAATAAAATAAAAACCAAGAGATGACAGGTTATCTTACCAAGTAAGTACTTATAAAATATATTTAATCAATTTTTAAGAAGTTATCTTATGTAAGAATTACTAAAAGCATTTAAGATGTCATAGCAGGAGAACCCAGAAATATTTTTTACAAGGTGCCAACACAATTAAGTGGTGAAAGACTAATCTTTTCAACTGTACTGGGAAAAATGCATATCAGTATGCAAAAAACTGAAGTTGTAAGCCTACCTTACACACACACACACACACACACACACACGTATCTCCACTGAATTGGTGTTTTTTAATATATTTATTGACCTGAGAAGGGGGAGGGGGAGAGAGGAGGAGGAGGGAGGGAGGGGGAGGAGGAGAGAGAGAGAGAGAAACAAGCTTCGACCTCCTGCGCCACCCATCCACTCATTCACTGGTTGACACCTGCAACAATGGCTCTTCAGGTCCATGCTCCAACCAACTAAGCACACACACATATTGATTCAAAATTAGTTCAAGACCTAAATAAAGGAACAGAAACTATAAACCTTGCAGGGGGGAAAAAACACATAAGTAAATTTTCATCCCTTTACAGGTTAGACAATGTCTGTTTGCTATGACACTAAAAGCATGAGCAATTTAAAAAGGTATAAACCAGTCCAGCCAGCGTGGCTCAGTGGTTAAGGGTTGATCCATGAACCAGGAGGTCATGGTTCAATTCCTGTTCAGGGAA